GTGGCCCTTCTTTAGTTTTCTTTCCTAACTTTAGTTTCCCATTCCTAACTTTCTATCTCACACAGAAGGGAATTGGAATTACTTTAGGTAAATTTCTGTGCTGAATCTCCAGATCCAGGGAACTGTCTCCACTACCCTACCCCGGTTTTCCGTTCTCTTATAATGGCTCATAATTCTAAGCAGAAGTACTGGCCTTGTCACATACAGCTAAGACCATCTATCTCTAGAGCCTGAGGCTGCAGGAAAGCTGTTACAGAGGAAAATTTGGCTGACACAGCCTATTTTGAAGCCCAAGAATGATCTGATCCCCCTAACCTACTTACCCACTGACAATTTACCTTCCTGGTGACTTAAAAAGCCCCCAGCTGGGCAAGGGGCATTTTAAAATGTTGTGCAGGGGGAGTGGGTTGTTGGTAAGGTGGAATGAGGCTGGCAAAAGAAAAGTTCATGTCTGTTCTCTTTCCTTGTTTCTAGTGAGGTCATTTGCTTCACAAAAAGAGGGTTTGGAGAAAGAACTCATGGCCCACCACATCCCTGTGAGACGAGCAGACCCACGTAATTAAAGGCACAGTAACCTGGATACCACAGAGCCAGCCTCAGATGAAGATGCTCCACATCCTGGCTGGTGTGAGACTTGCCCACTCCTGGCAGTGATACTGACTCCAAGACGTTTCTAAACTTGCCATTCAGCTTCTTCTCATCAATTAAGAGGAGCGAATCCCACCTTTGGTGGACCTGTGTTTGTGTGTGCTGTGCCTTGAGTGCGCCTTTGCGCGCTTTCTCAAGCCCAGGTGAAACCCTCCAGGGTAAAATTCCAGGGCATCCTTTCTGGGGTTCAGAGCCCTGTCCTGGTGCCTAAGGGTGGACACGAATAGATTTCAATAATAACAAAATAAAAGTTGAGACCCTACATTTCTTTAAGTCACCATCACCCTCTGCCTCTTATTCAAAGTCAAGTCATCTTGCTTCCTCCTGGACCCATGTCTAATGTCTGTTATGAACATGAATCAGAAAGAGGCAAAAGGATTTGCATTTCCTGTGGGGAAGTGCACTTTGCCCTCATTTCCTCACAGGGACCTTTAGAGACATCCTAAAGGCAATACATGATTCTTTAGTAAGTGAAGAAACTCTTTGGAGTTTGATTCTTGGTAAGGATGGAGACCAAGGTTAATGTATAATCGCTCTGTCTACAAGCCCAGGTGCCACTTACCACAGAGCTAGTCTGCTTCTCTCTCATGCATAAGGTTCAAATTTGTCTATGCTAGTCCCTGAACTTCAATGCTCTCTGCCTCGTACCTGATCCTAGGCTCTAGGCAACAAATTTCTAAGGCTACTTACCAGGACACAAGTGATATATTTGGAGTAGCTGTCACATAAAGCTGGCACAGACTGGTCCAAAAGAAAGCTGGAGAGGCGATTTATTTGTGCGTAAAAGGAACAAGATTTAATTGGAAAGAGACTTGTTATTTCGAATGCTAGTACATAGGATGGCATGGCGCGGTGGAGCATTATTCGAGCTTCATCTACTGTGCACTATATGCCACCGCCTCCAAAGGAGTGTTGCCCTAGAAACTTGTTTTAAATCTGCTGCTATATATCAACACCTTGTTTTAGCAGTCCTTGGCTGAATTACAGTTACACAGTTTGGCGCTTCTTTCAAATTTCCTCCCATCAGTTTGGCTAAAGAAAGGAATTTTTCTCCTTTAGAAATGAATTGGCTTAATTAGTAAGTAGATTAATGGCAATTGCTGGTGAGTTGGTTTCCAGCAGAGTTTCACCAGAGAGGGTTAATCGGAGTCAGGTCTGGAATCTTTCCCAGAACTGGCTGCCAGCCATTCCCACCAACCAATCAACCCTCCAAGAAATGAAGGAGATCACATAAAATTTAGATTCTCTGTGCCATTATCCTGTACCAAAATTCCACGGGAGTTGCCTTCTGATTGGATGTAGTTAAGACCTTCCATTTCAGACTTTTACTGGACATTCTTAACCTTTAAGATTTATCTGGGTACCAAAATGGAATTTCAAGTGTCACCACAGAGGCTAAGTGAGTTGGAGACTTCAGAGTCCGGTTAACTTTGGATTTAGAGACCTTGCAACCCCCTCCTAAGGGCCGCCCTAAATCTGTTACCCAACAGAATGCTTTCAAAAGTTTTTGCTGTATGCTTTGCAGCCTTTTCACTAAATTTTTTCCATAGTGATAAAAATGCATTCATAGTTTAACTCGCAGCTGCATTAGTCTTAAAAAAAAAAATCCCCGCTGAGAAATGCATATAATAGGAAAAACAGATCGGTTGGACAGCAGTGTAATTAATGCCAGAAAGGGCTGAGGCCGGTTTCATAGTTTGTCTTTTGAGGATATCAAGACCAGACCTGGTGAAAAATGACGCACGCTTTAGCATTTCAGAAAGCTGGCAACTGGCAGGGCTTTTCCTTTTTTCTTTGACTTTCTGCTGAGGAACAAAGAGGTCGGCAGAACTAGCTAGGTTGTAATGAGTTCTATGTCCCTGGCACATTAAGTGCATCATGGAAACATATTGTATCGAAATAGTTTGGAGGAGAATACTGGGGATGAAAGAGAATGGGTGCTTTGATCAGCTCCCTGGGGTCCTGAGCGCGCACAGACTGACTTGCAAGGAGTCATTCAGCTCCAGCTAGACACACTTACAACACCATTCAAAGAAATTTGCATATCTGTAATTTATCACATTGGTCCAGAACATTATTGCAAGGTAAATAAAAGTTAGTTGAATAAAAAAAAATCAATCATTGCAGATATAGAGGAAACTGGGAAAACAATCTTGAGATTAAAACCAGAAATAACTATTCCAGAAACATGGTGATTTTGAATTGACTTTAATTTTTACAGCAGCCTTAAAGCAACAGGTTATGCTCTGTCAAACAAACAACAACAAACCCCACAGGAGTGGCTACAATTTCTGTGCCTTTCTGCTCTTGAGTGTATTTGTACCTTCTCACTAGAATAAAATGATAAAGTTGAACATGATGTGTGTGGCTGTAACCAGCCTCTAACACACATAAAAATTAGTGCACACTGTGACAAGAGATGAAAGACTGCTTAATCTCCTCTGATCTGCAAGGGGTAAGGTTAAATCTCATTTTTCCTACTGTTGATCTTATTGCCTGTTTGCTGAACTTAACTCAAAAAGATGAAGTATCTATCCATAGACCCAGTCAATAGGAAAGCTTGCTTTCCAATGTCCCATGAGAACAAGTGAAAATTTAACAGGCAGGCATTGTTCTGAGCTTTTAAACAACCCAGTTAAACTGCAAACAAGAATCTTCAACTTGACCTTGAAAAGGCTGTGTGCCTACAGATAATCTATCAAACAACTCGGGATGACAATGATATATTTCAAAGTATTGTCAGATGAAAAGATTGATAAATTTGCTGCTGCAAAGAGAGAACTTGGAAACAGAACCAGGCAATTTAACTTACCAACTCCGCCTCCTCCTGCTTGCTCTCCCTTGTCCCATCCCCTCCACCCCCAGCACGCCTTGTGGCCAGCCAGCTCTGGAGAAGGGGCTAGTAAATCAGCACTGTAATACTTCTTACAAGGCACAGAAAAGCTGTGAACAGTACTTTTCATATTAAACGCAATATTTCTTTGCTTTCGTGGTGAACAAAAGTCATAGCAAGACGTCTTTGTGGCTAATTCAGTCAAAGGCACATCTCTGATTCCCCCTGCAGAAAGGTCAGTGTCGTTGTGTTTGGTCCACCGAGGGGGTGTTTTCACACTGAAAACTAGCCAGCTGTCCCTGTCATACCCTCACCATTGGGGAGCACACACTAGCCATGGCTATTAGGCACATTCTACACCTGCAAAATATACCAATTTCCAAGACTTTTCAAGACACCCTCCCATTCTCATGCCCCCTCCTCTGTCTACTAAACTTTGACAACACAATTCAAGCCCTGGATGAAAGCCCTGCAAGCTAGAGGAGCGCTGGGGAGGGGGCAGCTCTGCTACTGCTTCAGGGTATCTATTGAGCAGTCATCAAAGAAATGAGGCGTCAAGTATGTTTTCAAAAGTATGGAAAAACTTCCAAATAATTACTGTGAGGAGTCACACATTTGCTATTGCCACAAATGCTAATTGGTGAGCCCTAATATTTAATTGTATGCACTTGTGCTCTTTGTAGGTTTACAGCCAAACGTCCTTCATTTGGAAGTGGCTCGTTTTAAAATTTTCAATTCTTATTTCAGATCAGTTAGCCAGGAATTTCTTCTGAGTTCATCCAGAGCAAGAGCATGCCTAGTTTTGTTTTTCTTTTAATGTAAAAGCTTGCTCACATGGATTTCATAATAAAACTTCTAGAGACATCTCCTAGGTAGACCAGTAGTAGGTTTCCAATGTCTTTCTTATATTCCAGCTGTAGGTTACTAGTTCTTGGGGAGAGGACCTGGTACTCAGCATAAAAGAAGGCAAAGGGAAGCCTACACAGCCGCTGGAAACTGCAAATAGAAACAAAAAAAATCTTGAGGAGAACCCCCTCACGAATCAGTCCTTCTAAGACAGGAGCGCGAATAAAACACTAACTTTGTTTTCTCTGCGCGTATACACCAAAGAGTTCTATCTGTCTGCAGGGGGGAGGGGGAGGGAAGGATTGAGGGAAGCGAGCTGCGGAAGTGAGGGGGTGTCTCTCTAATCCGGATCTTTGTCTAATCTTACTACCCAAAGTATAAAGAATCAGACGAGGAGACAGACCCTAGAGGAGGCAAGGTACAAGGGTACCCAGGGCACCTTGGGTTGCTAGGACACAGGCAGGGGTGAAGCTTTCCAGGTGTCACAGGAGGAAAGAGGTGCCTCTCAGCAGAGAACACGAAAGCCTATCCTGGAAGACAGGGGGTGGGGGGCCGCCACACAGCCTGCCTCCCCGGAGCAAAGTGCCTGAGCCTCTCCAAAACAATGCCAATGCAACAGGTTGTTTGGAACTAATGCAGACACGCCAGGAAACCTGCTGGCACTAATCTGCAGGGATCATCCAGGGGCCAAACCTCTCTGAGAAGCAATAGTAGACCCCCAAGAGTCCGAAAGTGGGGCCAGTTAGAAGCTTGTGCCCCGACCACTGTCGCCGCTAGCGCGGACGCTGGGACCACCAAGCAAAACCAGCCCGCCAGCAATCTGCGCTCCTGGCCACCCAGCTCTTGGCAGCCAGGCTACCCGAGGCTCCCCGCCGAGCCAGAGGGCGACAGTGACCTAGGACCTCCTTAGAGGAAGCCTGGGGTCCCCATTAAGGGCCTCCTCCCGGCGGCTGGACCCAGTTCGACTCGCCGCTTCCGGCATCCCTTCTTGGAGACTTCCATGCGCAAAGATAGCACAACGGAGGAGAGCTGGTGCGGGACAGCAGCTTCCAGCCTCCTGGACGGACAGACCACATCTGAACCCCGACTTTTCGGGTAGCCGGAGCTAGGCGGGCCTCCTGGGCTACACCACCGACTTTATCCTGGCTCTCCGGAACCCTGGCAACAGGCAAGAGCAGACGGGGCGCATGCGCGCCCACGACCAGGGTCCCTCCCCAGCCGGCCGAGTTTGGGGAAAGTTTGGCGAGGTTTGCCTTGGCAGCGACGGATGTCCCAAAGGCTGGGTTGCCCTGGATAGGAGGCCAGGAGCCCCCCCGGAGTCCCAGGAGCCGGTTTGGCAAGGGACCGAGAGCTGAAAAGCAGCAGAAGGTGGGGAGAAGAAGGCCTTTTGTGTGTGGCACAGGAGTGTCACTTGCGCACAAACGCAGCAGCGCGCTCAGCCGCCGCCTCAGCCTCCTCCGCTGCACCTCCGCCTCCGAAGCGCTTCAGCACAGCCGAGCCGTTCCCCCGCCTCCCCCCGGCCCCGGCCTTTGTTCGGTTTGAAAGTAATGCTGTGAATTAAAAGAAATGACAATATTTTCTATCTGCTTGAAAGTCCAAGCGAAGAGCCCTTGAGCTTGGCAAAAATCAGGCAAATCATTCATCATGCCACCCCGCACCTGTGGTCTTGGCATTGAAAACCCTCCAGACCTATTCCTATTAAACTTAATTATTCCCCCAAAGCACACAATGGTTGAAATGGAGCAGGTTGGAGTCTGTTTATTGGTGGTAAATGTTTTTCTGAAGATCTTCTGAATCTCATTGTTAGCTCGTTGTTTGAGGCTGCCCTCTTTCTTTCAGACTGGAGTAGCCTTGGACTTTTCAATTTTCAATCGTAACATCTGCTTAATCGTACGGATCAAAATATGGAGACACAAAACATATGTAATGGTTGATTTGTTAAATCCTGGTAATGAGTTATTAACAAGGGAAAACAATGGGCCGGGATGGTGAGAGCCTTATGGTAACAGAGTCACTTTATGTACCGCCTGACGTTCCCTTCTTGATAAATGGAACTAAGGTCTGAGCGCCAGGTGATAGCAAGAAAATCAATGTCTTTAGGGGCCAGCACTGAGACTTTTTTTTTCTATGTGAAAAATTAGGAGACATAAAACTTAATTGGCTGGTGAGGAGTGGGGGAAACAGTGGTCTTAAGTTTAATTGCCAGTGGGCTTAGCAAGGGAGACAAAACAAGATTTGGGCCTGTTTGTTTGCTACACCCCAGCCTCAAGTCCAAGTGTATCATTGAAAATGTGTTTTATTATAACACATGTCATGCTTTACAGTTCCCATATTGTGTAAAGACAATGGTTAATGGTACATTAAAGACAGGCAGGCCATGCCAACACGTCTTGGAGACATTGTAAGGGCCTCTCTCTTTGCTTGTTTTAGGCAGCTGCAGTCCAGGACCCAGAAGCACAAAAAGAACAAGTTTGAAATACCAGGTGCATCCCAGAGAACCACGACAGGGATTGATATGTTATAGCCCAGGACATGAACCTAGCAATAAAGATATCATTTCGATTGTCTGCGGCTTCCACGGCCTGTAAAGCTGTGAGGCCCTGAACTGTCTGCTTTCTGGCAGCCCTGTCTCTCTCCCTGGGTTTCTCCATCTCCCTGGGCCAAATCTGAACACCTGTTGGCCAGACCTCACATCCTGTCGTGGGAATCCTTTCCTACCAGTGATTCCAGATCTCAAAACATGCAATTGGTTGTGGAATTATTTAGGACCATTCCCACAGGCTGCAGAAGGCTTTGGAAAGGCTGTGGGAGGGGAGGGTGAGTGAGAGAGGGAGGGGAAAAGGCTCTTCCCAGAGAGATTCGCCAGGGAGTACTCAACTGGTGTTTGTTCAACCTCGCAGCTGGTACTCGGTGCCATCGCAAAGGCCCATTAATGGAAATAGGATGAGTTTGTGGATTTAAAGAGCTTCACACCCTCTCCATGGAGGGGCGTTAATCCTGGTACTGGCAGATGAGCAGTCCTGGGAATGGCTGGCAGACTGTTTCACAGGAGCTCCAACAAGGCCTTTTATGCCCTCTGCTCCCAGCCTGGGGTGGAAGACTCACTCTCATCCCCATCTAATTTTTCTGCTTTTCAGACCCACAGAATTCAGCTCCTTCCCAGAGTTTTTAGTTAAGCCACAGTGTATCCTCCATGGACAGGAAGAGGCTCCAGCAGGGGGCTCCATTCCCGAAGTAGCTTAGCCCAGGTTGCAGAAGTGGTTCCCCTGTCTTCCTTGGACCTTAAGCCTTCCTCACTTTAAGAGTCACCCTACCCCGTGTTCATCTCAAAACTGGAAGTTCCATCAAGAGGATTAAAAGGACATGATGGCTGTGTTTTCTAGGCCTTGATAATGGGAAGCCACCTTTTTTCTTGGAAGCAGGGTGGCATTTATCTCTTAACAACATGACAAGAAGACCCCATGGCTCTCCCACTTGAAGAGTGAGGGAACAAGAGGGGTGGAGAAAAGGAGCTTTGACTAAATATTGTCCTTAGTGCTCAACCTGGAAGACAGAACAGTTCAGAATTCTGGAGTGGAGAGAGCAGGGTAGACTGGAATTGGAAAGAGAAGGGCATGCCACTGCACACCCCACTTTGAGTAAAGCATTGCATGGCTTGCAGCACTTCCCTACCCCACCCCCATGGCCAGCACTGGAATCTGGACCACTGAGGAAAGATTTTGCCAGCTCTGAAGTAAAGATCATAAAATACATAACATCCTGGCTGGGTTCACAGCTTCTTTATTATGCTAAATGATGAGGGCCACCAGGGTGAACTTTAAAGTCTTTTCCCTGTAGTGGTGGCAGGCTGGGGTTCAGGGCAAGGGCTGATGAGTCAGAAAAGCAACGTCTGGCAAAGCCTGTCCATAGCCACCCAGCAATCTGGCTACCTCATTTACTTTCATAAGCCTTTTTTTTTTTTTTCCTAAATTGGGGTGGGGTAGAGGAGTATTGACTTAGGATTGCTGAATACCCATCATTCAAGTTGTCCCCACATGGTCTTCCCAGTGCCAGGCTGTATTTATGGGCCAGAGATGATTCAGGCCAGAGACTCCCCGGCCCGGCTCCCCTGCGCCCAGCACAGCTCGGGCTTCATGGTGCCAAAGGAGGTCCTGAAATGAGACTCTGAAATGATACGTTTGTTCTGCTTTTACTGCTGTATATTTTAAGAAAAAGAATTGCTACACTGGAATGAATAGATTATGAGTAAATAAAAAGAAACTGTCAGTCTCTTTGAAGATTGTGCTTAAAGGGACTTGCCAAGTCAGGACACAAGAGTGACAAGATAGAGACCTCGGTGCTTTGCAGGCTTAACTGGGCTCTTCCGCTTCATCTGCACAGTACTAAAGGATGTGTTGATGCATTGAATCACAAAAAAGTGGCATTCGAAATAAAAGGTGCCACACCACAATGATTGTAGTGTTTGAACTGTGAAGTGCCACACTGCCCCATCCAATCGGAAGGCAGGTCTGCACAGAAGGGGGAAAAAGATACACTTTCATAACTTATAAGGAAGTTGAAGTCTAACATTTGACTTTCTAATGAGTGTAATGAGATTACATGCCTGATGGGAGCATTTGTACAAAAGCAACTTTCGTGTTTAATGAGGCCCTAATACAGGGCAAAATCGAATTGTTTTTGTTTTTCTTTTTCCTTCTCAAACATCTCCAGAGCAAAACCAACTTTTAGAAGGAGAGGAGGTGTGAGAAAAGAAGGCTGGAGGAGATGAGGGGGTCCAAGGCTCAAGGCCTCCTGGGGAGCGTCGCGACCCAGAATCTTAGCGTGTCTGGCTAGGCTGCTCTGCGGGGTCGGTCCAGCTCCTAGCCTCGCTTTAATTACTCTTGGATGAAGTCCATGGCACCCGCGGCGCGCGCGGGGGAACCCCTCGGTGGGTCTGAAACTAGGTTAAAGCGATTAGCATGCTGTCTGTACGCTGTCCTCTGGCCAGGCGCGCGGGGCAGCGGGGAAGAAGGGGGGTGCAAAGGGGAGATTGGCGATAGCACCTTGACTCCTCAGGCTTCTGCTGCTGGGAGAAGCAACTCACCTTGACCGGCAAGCGTTAGCTCTGAGTCAAAGGTTCCAAGCCAAAGTGAGGGAGCGTCTCCTGCCCTGCCCCCCACGCGCCGGCCCCTCTAGTAGCCACCAAGAGCTTAGACACCACTGGGCGTCGGGGGTGGGGGGTTGAGAGTCCACCGTGGCCCAGGGGAGACAATTCCAGCCCATCCTTCCTGGGCTTTCTGACTGAGGGCCTAGACTCCTCCACCCCTTTTCTTTCGGTTCGCTAGAGGGCGATCCCGCTACTTCAGCCTCAGGCGGGTCTCTCTCCTGTTGTGGGCACAGGAAGACTCCCGCACTGTTTTAAAAAATTACGCAACTGGCCAGGTGGGAGTGGGAAGTAAGCTTGTTTCCGCCTTATACAGGGTTGTGCGGGGATTTCTGACTAGGTCAACTACTGCAGTTCCTTTCCGGGGATCTCCCCTGCCTAGCCAGGAATCTAGACTCTGTTTAGGCACTGTGGCAGTCACTTGAGGCATGCCAAACATTGTTCCTAAACCTCAGCTTTCCCGCTCTGGAAAATGGAAATAATAAATTACCCATGGCCTAGTTATCTTGTGGGGTGTCTTGTAGTTAGGATACAAATTCAGGCAAGTTGTTACTGTTGAGAACCAGGGTGACAGATTAGTGTCTGTCAGAGAGCTGGGATTTATACTCCCACCTATACCCACTCTCCTTCAGACCAAACCTACATGAAAATTAGTTTACTCCTAGATGATTAGGATTTGAGCCTGTTTCTGTCACTTTTAGGCACGTTAATACTTTTGAAGATACTGTTACTCCTATGATTGACTAAACAAATAGTTTATAGAAACA